CGGCCGCGAATATCTCTTCGTTGCGATTTCGATGGGCTCTCTATTGAACGCGATAATCGCGAAATTGGAGCAAATCGTTCACAGGCGACTCTCTCTCTCTCTCTCTCTTTCTCCGTCGAAGAACTCTGACAGATCTGGGCGATCGAGATAGATCGCCAGCCAAGAAACTGTCACTTACCTAATTGCGCGCAAATCGGTATGTAAATAGGATTTAGAGAAATGCTGCCTCTAATCGACAAAAAACAATTGAATTTAATATAATCGGTTTAATTGTATGATTATTTAGTAAATTGTACCGAATTGGTACATTTTAAATTAAATTTAATAGATTCTTTTGTCGATTACAAACAGTAAGTTTTCCAGTCACAATTTGCTAATTGTAAGGAAAATACTGCAATTTAACGCTTCTTAATTTCGTTTTCGGGTTGCGTTATGTAAATGTGACAATAAAAATGTATTTACATATAGCGCTTGATTAACGGCAAATGTAATAAAATTGTGCTCACCATGTTTGCTCCAGTTACTCAAAACAACAACAACAACGGTCCGTGATTTGTAGCACCGCGTGAGAGAACCGACGAAAGATCCTCCGGGCAGCGTCTTATCAGTGGGGAAAAACAGTACAAACCGAGAGAAAACTCAACAACGCGATAGAATTGCCGGCAGATCGGTGAGGGAAAAAAAAGGGGATCTCGATTATTGATACGGATCAATGATCGAGGATCCGCCGCCGCATGATCGGGGAACTGTCACTGACAGCAGTTCGGGAAACACTGACTGGTGTGGCGAACAAGCCTACTGTCATTCTCTCTCTCTCTTTCCCGTTCTCTCTTTCATTCTCCCTCTCTCTCGGCCTCTCTCTCTTTCTCTTTCCCCCTCCACCTCTCTCTTTTTACCGACCTCCCTCTTCTTCCTTGAACGGAGAGTACACTCTCTCTTCCTTGCACACTCTGTAGAATTTTGCAGCGCACCTCTAGCCGGTGGCGGCGGCGATGACAAAGATACCGCAGTTACGGCAAAAGCGACGATAATGTCCACGGCGAAAACGTTGACGTGTATTGACGCTTTTGGTGTGACAACGGTGGCAATTAATGCCGCCTTTCATTTTGCGTATAGTAAGCGATGGCGCGCGCTGTAGCCTGAAATCGGTCGCGCGGGATGACGCGAAAGATCGGCGCCGGCAAAAGCGTTTTAAGATAATACGTTCGATGTCTGTGTGTGACCTAATGATAACGAGATTACTAATTTATGCGCGCGAAGGAATTTTATAACCATTATTACGAAAGACACGCGTATGGCATAAGAAATAGTAATTCAGCAACTTATGCAATTGTTTCGCATGATAAGACTAATTGTATGTATACAGGGCGCACTAAAACCACCGGATATCCTTCTAATCATAAATTCTTTAGAAAATTTCAAGACGGAGATTCTAACACAAAAATGTCGAGGCTATGATAGCTTTTAAATTAATGATGCCTGAGATTTCGCGCGCTTAGGTACGGCGACATGACGAGTGATAAAAGTGTTCCTATAAATGTCGCCCTTTTTAGCATAGTGACAACCTTCATGGAAATTGATATTGAACGACCACTTTGACAGCTGCAACACATTGAAGTTACAAAATGTTCCAAATTCTTCCTTGAATTAAATGAAAAGGGGCGACATTTATAGGAACACTTTTACCACTCGTCATGTCGCCGTGTCTGAGCGCGCGAAATCTCAGGTCTGCCATTTGTAAAATATAATCACTTATTATTTAAAAACTATCATAGCCTCGACATTTTTGTATTACAATAGAATTTTCGTCCTTGAAATTTTCTAAAGAATTTATGATTAAAAGGATATCCGGTGGTCTTAGTACACCCCGTATATAATGTTTGTATGTATATGCTTTTTTACTTTTAATAATTGTATGTATATAATAATAATTAGCATAATTTGTCACTGCGGAAAATAAACTGCTCGTGAGAGGATCGTCTTAAAGATAGCATCGTATAAAAGTATAATATAAAACTTGTAGAGCTTACTCGCATAATTATTGGTTAAAGCAAGTATACATGTAACTGGTATACATCCGGTATCCATTAAAGTCTGTCTTTTCCATTGCGTGAATATAAATTAAAATTAATTGCATTATGAAAATCTAATATGAATATATGTGGAAAAAACGCGTGACATTTCCGCGATTATCTGGAGCGCGATTAATCGGTGAGGAAGCGGAACGAAAAATAATGGATAATGCGATTAGAAGTCGATGAACTTCGTCACCGCACGACACAACTGCACTTTAATGAAAAGCATAACGGCTGCATAATGCGACTGGTGTACACGTAATCGATCGGTTAAATGTCGCAACACTTGCGGTATAATTGGGGAAATGTTCCAGCAAATTGTCGACGGCGATCGTGTGATTATTCTACGTACAACAGTTGCGCACGATGTGACGGATAATCCATATGGTGCAGCGCTTACCAGCGTAAATAATCTAAAATCGGTTTAGATCGATGCTTACGACGATGGGGAAATTTCTAGTGATGGATTCTGAACGCCAGACCATTTTCAACACGTGACGAAAATCTCAATCAATTTTGTTTCTCACGTCTTATTTTCTAAATTAAATGCGAATACATTATTAATAAATTGTCCGGCTTATAATAAAGCATTTAAGCTTCTTTAAAAAAAAAACTCGTTATACATACGTAAATGAATCATATAAGGAAGAAGCTTATGCTTAATGAACTTCCGTGAAAGGTTCTTGATTACTGATCCGCTTTGATCGTATCGTTTTAATTATCTATTCCAAAAGAGTGTAATTAAGACTGAAGTTTTAGACTTTCGCTGAGAAAAGAAGCCGGCGAACTGAGCCAAATTACTTCCAGAGCACACACACTTCTTCTGAATAATCCCTCTTTATGAAGACGCTCTTCAGAAGCAGGCTTTGCAAACAAACGATTCATTTTAAACGTACAATAAGGTAGCGCTCTTTCTCTTTTTTTTCTCAATCTACATATTACAGGCCGTAATCATTGGTCGCATATTTCAAGACCTTAAACGCAAACGGGCGCATGTAATGCTTGTGCAGATCTTCTTTCAAGATCTGACACATGTAATCATTTATGTCGAGGCACCTCACAAGCGTAAACTGAATTTAATTGTACGCGCTACAACGTTCGCGACTGTAACGAACGGTGACTTTGTTAAATTATTTCGCGAATTAACGTCCAGGAAGAGGACAAGTAAGACGGATTCTAATTCGCGTCGCTAACAGTCGTTAACACGCCGTCTGTCCATTCTTAGACCACCTCGTTCATTTAAGAGGCGAAAGTGACTCTCGCGATTCCTCCCCGCGGGTCTTGCCCGCTTTTCATTTTCTTTCTTTCCCTTCCCGGTCGTCCTCGCTGTTTACACTTGCGTAAAAATCTTAATACTTCGCTCGTATGAAAATACCTCCGTCGTTCCTTTCTCTCCGCCGCCAGGCGGTTCCTAACGATCCGTAAGTATCTGCATAATTAACGCTATAGTGAAATATAAATTGCTCGGACAGCGCGCGCTGCAATTTATCGAAACGGTCGTTAACCCTTTTTCCTTGAATCTCGCCGCTCGCGGTTATGATATAAACGCGGCTATCGTGTTTCGAAAATTACTTCTCCGCGGGAGGGAGGGAAGTTTATTTGTTATACGTTATAGTCTTCCACTGTTCCTTTCCGCATGTCAATGCAGATTACCCAATACGCTCGTGACTGGAAAACCCCTGATTTCAAGTACCTGACGCCGATTACGGTGCGCAACAAATTGGAGGCTTCTTCTATCGTTTAAATGAGATTTTATATAAGGTAATTTCGATCTCGCGCGACTCTCAAGACGGCCGAACGCAACCGGGCAAAACCGCGCGCGCGAACGTATCAAGTACCGTCTCTAAAGTGCATAACTCTTGGAACGTGGTTTTGTTCGTGGTTTCGCGTTCACATAGCTCTCGCTCGCGCTGCAGGTTTTGTGTCGTGTGAAACAAGAGCGGTTTAGTGCAGTTTGCTTAAAATTACTCTGGATATCGTATTACGAAATTGGAACCAGCGACAAAACACGCTGTACTGCGAGCTTGAAAAAGTATCGCACCGTAGTTAGTGGACTTTAATACGTAGAGTCCACTTATACAGGGATACTTGATTAAAAATTTATAAAAAATAAGTCTCCAAACATACACACACGCACACACACACACATATTTGTTATTTATAATTAAACAAAAGTTATGTGCAATTCTATTTCAATATGTGTGCACTGAATTCTGACAAGAAATAAAGTAAGTTCTCTTAGAAAGCGTTCAGAATTTACTAAATCACACTCCATGCGTTTATAAGTTTTTACTTGCGTTCCAGTCGACTTTATTTTCGCAATATTATGCCATCACATTTTATCTTTCATATACATGAGAATTGTCCTAAAAAATTCCTTTAAATAACAATACATTCGTTCTCTACACAAGTTGTCTTACAAATTTGTAACACTTTTGGCAAATTGAAGTAATGACGTGGTTTTGTAACAGTAATTAATTATTGAACAAAAACTTTTCACGCAGTCTACACTTCACTGATTCGAATATACAAGTAGCAATACAATAAAATACCTCGTCATTTATTAATAAGTTATACGTCAGTAAGAAATTTAAACGCGGAGAGATTTTATCACAAATATTATCACAAATATCAGTAGCGGAGAATCTCATCGTATCTCAATGAATAGAAATTAAAACCAAGAGTGTAGCGAGTTCTAGAATCTCGCGGACGTATCATGTCAGTAGAAACGGCTAGCAACTAGCCAGACGACAGCGAGGAAGAAGAGAAAAAGTGGGAGAGAGAGAGAGAGAATCAAATGGCATATATGTCGCGGTAGCGATTTCGATCGCACTTTAGACGATTTCATTAAATTGAAGACTCGCTCGAGAATTTGTGTCGCGTCCGTGCACGCATTTCCCTGAGTAACGAGTGCAGAAAACGGGATTTGGATTTCAGTCGCTGGTCATGTTATATATTTTCGTAAGAAATTCGCGCAGAGATACATACAAGAGTAATTATAATAATTATTACAGTAATAACTGTATGTTCGTACAATATATATATATATGTGTATATATATATTTATGTGTACACGTAACGTTAAGAATAAATTGCGTTCATGGGTTGATCGGTGAGTGGAGAGAGTTTCACGCGGCAAGTGCATCGGCGAGTGAGATGTGCGGCATGCGGCGGTCAATTCGACGTTGATCGAGCCAGGCGGAAGTGGTCCATTCGATCAATTTTTTCAGTTTTCTCCCTTTTCGCTTCTCGTCTCTGCTCCGGTTGGTGCCTCGCGAGTGCGAAACGTTTAAGTGACTTTGTTAACTTCTTCCTTACTTTATAAGATTGACTATGCGGGATCATCATTGTTTGTTCTTCCGCTCGTTTCTATCCTTTCGTACGTGTCAACGGGCCGACCGGTGCAGCTTCGGGATATCTTTGCGAATAACGATTGTGGCACGATTAGCGAAGGATAACGATACACCTCGTGGGACGACGAAGAATCGGGAATTGACCGGCAGAGCCGCACGCCGCGCGATCGTAGAAGTCCCGGAGGAACGGAACGGTCCGGCAAACGGGATTTGCTGCAGTCCGATCTTCGATCGATGGATCGGCCGCGTTTTTATTTCGGCAGCGCCGGTCGACGAGCGCCTCGACGATCGGGTGGATCCGCGAGCCGCGATCGGATCGCAGCGGACGTCCACCGGCATCTCTTCCTCTTCCTCTCGCGTTCCTCTCCTCCTACTCTTCCTCCTCCCTCCTTCCTCCGTGATCTCTGCCTGAGATTCCCTTTGCCGCGGATGAACGACCGACTCCTCTCCCCCTCGGTTTGCATATGCACGCTTCCTTCTTCTTCTGTTGCCCTTCCTCCGCACTGGCCCCGATTACATGATTATACACTTGCCTTTCTCGGCCCAGGGATTGTTCTTCTTGTCGGGCGCGTGTATCAGTGGGTCATTCTTCTCGTTCTCTTCCACGTACTCCCGCATCCTGCCGAGAAGAAGAATAAGAGGGTCAAGTCGAGCGTCAGTCTCGCGTAATGCTGAAATTGCAACCTGGCGGCACGCGTTACTACTCCTTACCCACTGCTTACCTAAGACTATGGTGCAATAAACGTGCGATTGTGATTCGTTCTAGTGGAATTAATTCCTCATTGCGCGACCCTTTATCTCCACGCCGAGAGTCGCGTCTTTTATTTATTCGTAACATACACGTGCGGGAAAGGACGATGCGGTCAATTCGCTTTCAGGCATAAAATATTCCTTCGGAAACTCCAGAGTGTTATCGCGTAGTCATATTTATACGATTTGATATTTAATATTCATAATTATATGAAAAAATAATATCCTTTCAGTTGTTAACCGCAAATTGTATATCCCGTTATGTGATAACATCCATAAACATCCAGAGAACCGATCGTTAATGCGGATTTCGCTATCAATTAACCCTTTGAAGCATACATTTTTCTATTGGACCATTTTTTGTAAAACTTTGCAAGGGTTTTTGGGGTCGCTGATTACGAATCCGTTGTCAGATCTGATGTCAGGTTTTCATAATTCAAAATGGCGGAATTCAAAACTTAACAGAATAACATCATTCAACTATAATTCAACTATGCTAAGAAACATTATTTAGATATTATTAGGACCCACGGAATCTAAATTCCAGTTGAAAATTCTTGTAGAAAATAAAAAATTGCTGTTTTCCATATTTGTTTATTTATAAAACTTTTACAATAAATATTAAGGACTACTCAACTTCTTTTTATGTTCTTTTATTGCTAAGATACCCCAAAAATGCAAGAAACCCGACCTAAATGCGTTAACTAGAAATTAAATGGCCAAAGAGTAAAAAAGTTGAGGTGGTAACGTGGGTTACCACCGTGCTACAAAGGGTTAATGTAAAAACAAAATAAATAACGACGAGTTAATTTAGGTGGTAAGAAATATAAGCACTGTATTTACATATGCATGTCTTCTATCGAACGTTTCGAATAGCAAAGTGTCACCCTCGGCATAAACCGCGAATATAAAAGCAGTGATAAATCAATAAGAATAAAATATAACAATATTTGTAATCTAAATATAATATAATTCAACATAAATAATATTTTTCATTCGGAGACAGACCAGATTACCGATGTGTGTGCCTTTCTCGACGACGGATATTTCGTTTTATCGCGGCGAACGCATTTCGGCGAACCGCTCGAAACTCGCCGGAGGCTCCTAATCCGGCGTTTTCCAGAATCTCCTGGAGAATGTCCCGCGAGATACGTTACCTCCGATTTAGTAGATCGCCGATAAGTTTCGCGCCTCCGCATGTAGAGCGGCCGATAGCCGGGGCGCGTTCGTTTCGCGAGGAAGTCGGTGAAAGGGACTCGGTTCTCGCGGCTCGCTCGCGCGGCCGATTTTGCGTTCAAGGAGAATTCGCGCGCAAGCAGCGGCGGCGGCAACGGCACGAAGCTTTCGAACTTTGTTACCGCTTAGACGCTCGCCAAGCGCAAAATGTCCGTGGAATTCTTCCCCGCGGGACACAAGAGCGCCGCTCGGCCCCGCGCGCGCGCGCGTTTAACCCTTCACTGCGTTTTATCGCGCACAAACGACGGCCGAGAGCCTACGTTCCACGTTGTCGCTTAGGCCTTCGGCGTGTCGGAGCACGTACCTGAGCAAATACGCCATTTATTTTGAGTGACAGCGGCAGTTACGCGCACGAATGACGAGGTCAACGCACAAGAATCACTTACGCGTATTTTTCAACAAATGCCCGTAGAAAAAAAAATCATTTCTCTCGTATTCGAATCCGAATAAGATTACGACTGACAAATGTTCCAAGTAAAGAAATTCACAGGATAGTCGTACTCAGGCCCGGTTGCACCAACGTCACGGAATTTTTATTTTAGCTTATTTCGCTCTCCGTTTCTTTCTGTTTTCCTTAGAAAGAGACAAAACGTGAATTAAGCTTAAAGGCAAGCGACGTTGGTGAAACTGGGTCTTAATTATTACGCCAAGTATTTTTCTAAATTTTCGCAAACATAATCGCGAAAACATATGGCTTTTTATGTGAATTGTATAGCCCTTGGCGAAAATATGCCTTAGAAAACCTTAACATTTTACTTTAGAAAAATAAGAAATAAGAAAAGTAAATTTGGACACTTTAAACCGAAAACTTACTTTACGAATTTAAAAGAAACCTTTAAGAATGGTGTAAAGTATGCGATATAATCTGTAACGCCGCGTGCGATTTTCTTCTTACGAGAAAGTGCTATGCCGCGCGGCCCTCTAGCGGGAACTTGGACAGACTTGGCTAAAAAAAAATTAATTTAAACGCCCAAAACTACTGTAAAATTTCTTAAGTAAGCTTTTGACTTCTTTAAGTAAATTCTTAGATTTGAAAGATTACTTGTAAAAACTTTAATTTCATGTTAAGTAAATGTTCCCAAGAGAGCGAGCGCGCGAAAGAATATTTTTCCTCGTATCGTATCCTCGAGTTCTCGTCTCGCCATGACCGCACGAAAATTTCGTTCGGCTAACAACAATCGCATTTCGTGCTTGATCGGCATTGATTTATCAGAGTTCATGCGGGAATCGCGGACTTTCACTTATCAGCGTCCGTCGCGCAATTTTTAAGTGAGGGTGAACGACCTTCCCCGAACACTCGTGTCGTAATGTTATCGATTCGCGTTTCTGCGACGTCTATTATTTAGCGGCCGTCGTTTATATAATGAGCGGCAATCATCGAAATCGGAGCGATTCCCAATCGCGAGTCGCGATGTCAAATGAGAGTCGTCGAGCGGATCAGTCGTAGAAATGAAATGAATGCGATTCTGTTCACTTCACGCTCGAATTCACGGTTTGTCTCACTTTCGTGTCTATCTTTACGGCCTGCCGAACGATGGAAGTCGCAATTTAATGCACGAAGATCGAGTGAAACTGTCGGGCATTGACAAAAATGCCCGGGAGATATTCCAGTATTTCCAGTTTCACTAAACATTCGCGCGCGGCCGACACTATATTTGTGTGTCACGAAATTTATAATATAAAGGAGACACGCGTACGCGTTAACGAGATTAATTTGCTTGAAACTGATTAGAAACAACGGGGAAAGAGGATTCAATTTTGAAGTTAAATACTAAAGAAACCAGATTTGCAGTATCCCCCTCTCACTGCCTCTTCTTTTCCCTCGTAAAGTACAATTTCGATTGATTTTACAAATTATAAATTCTATTTGATTGCTTATTAATAATTGGTAGCGCTGCGAACAGGGTTTTCACGGCGCGTTGCGAACGTAAGAGTATCGGAAGAGAACGACCCACATTGCCAATGAATGCAACAGGCGTCGGATTCAGCCGAGTTTAAAGGAGGTCATCCTAAATTCAGGGACCGAGGCGCGCATCACGCCGTCGCCGCCTCCGGTTGGATATCGATACTTTGCGCGCGACAATTTCGACCTGTCTCTTTCAACACCGGAAGCGCATCGTTAGCGCCCAGGTTCACAGGTCGATGATCAAATCGATATCGATCATGATTTTTCGGACCGTTTGATTTGGTGACGACTTGATTCTTCAATGATTTCGCAAAAATATCTGCATAATACTTTGCTGTAGATAAAAACTGCATGTGGCAACTAAATTTCAGTTGTAAAATGTGGACAGCTAATATTTAGTTGTAACAGCTAAATATTTTGTTACTGTGCCTATTGTATTAGGTGCGACGGCAAACCGTTTGCTGTGCTTTAGAAATTTATAGTTACGGCAGCAAAATATTTTTAGCAAACCATGATTAGCTGCGGTAGCGAAAAGTTTTTTTTTCAGTCTTTATTCCTTCGAAAACCATATTTACCACATGAGAGCTTTATGAATTTTACTGATTTGTATACATATCAATTTGATATAGGTATAGAAGCTATCATGTTAGTGTAGACTTATTATTGATGATTTAGTTGATATCTAGTAGATATCATATTCAAGTCGAGCCGATAGGTGGAGATGTTGATTCGACTTCAATATGGTATCAATTGAAATATGACTAGATCGTGGACGTCTACAGAGTATTTTCTCAGATATCGTAATAAAATTTCTAAACATCAACTTGATTATTGATTTGCGCATGGTCTCAATTTGATTTCAATATAATATTCACCAGATTCTTCATCGACTTGTGAACTCGGGCGGGAAACCGGCCGTGGCGTACGGACGCATCGCTAAAGGCCGAATCGGACTAGCAATTGTCGACCCGGACTGGATTGGGATTGGCGACTGGCGATTGTGTTCTAGTCAATGAGAGCAGAGCAGCTATTTAATCGAGTCTCATTGGGTCCGAGTCGGCAATTGCTAGTCTGATTCGGCCTTAATGGACGACACGATCCAGCGGGCATGCGGGAAGTAGGCGCCGATCTTCTAGTTCCGGCGCGTGGTCCCGCTTGCGGAACGACGCGGAACCGGGCGCGTTTAGACGTGGCAGCGAACCCGGCCGTTTCTCGCGGCGCGGCGGTTTTCGAGGTATCGCGCGCGAAAGCAAAAAATTTCCGCGGTCTCGCGAGACTTCTCTGAGCGGTGAAAGGCGCCGGGGCACCCGCCCTCGCCCCCTTCGCTCCGCGCGTCGCCCCCTTTTTTCTTCTCTTTTCTCTCCTTTTATCCCTCGCCGATCGACCTAATCTCGCGCCCCGACGATACACGGCGATACGTCTTCCACGCCCGCTTCTTCCCGATCCTTCCGCTCCCTTTCGTCCAGCGCGATACTGACGTAATCTTGCGAAACGCCCGCGGTGTACAGGTGACCGGGGATGCTTTCGGCGAGTTGCCAATATACTTTCGCTCGTCCGGCACCGTATTCAGCGGGCATCGATATTTTTAAGTATTGATATTACTAATGATAGGAATTATCAAGGGAAAGGATGTTTGAAACAGTATATTAATAAAATTAACCAGGAAGGAAGAATGTTCTTTTTTTTGTACAAGAGCGGAGCACGTTTATGACATAAGCCGATCGCTTCACAAAAGAATTATTGTAAATTACTTGAATATTATAATAACATACAATTTAAAACGAGCAATTTGCCTGCCGCGGTAAAAAGGAGAGATTTTGAACTCGAGTACTGTTTTGTTTTATGTAATTTATGACACAATACTTTCTCCGTATAGGCTCGTTATCTGTAAAAGGTCGTTAACGCCGCCATTAAATCGGTCGGAACGTGAGTTAAATTCGCAGAGCCGATCGCGCTTGGCGAGCATAATCTCGCAATAACTCGGCCGGGCTCGATCATTAGCGAGAGCGCGACACGCGAGGGATATAATTAGCTGGGGCAGAATGGACCGCAACGGACGCGGGGGATAATCCTCGCGCGATCTCTTTCCGCGCGATTCCTTTCGTTTGCGCGTGACGAAAGCGCCAAGTTACGCCGATTGTGAGAAACGATCGCCGCGATCGCGACCGGCTGCGGCCCAATTAGATCACCGATCATCGCCGGTCATTGAGTCATCATAATCGCCGGCCGTGGATTTCATCTCGCGCCGTCTCGTACCATCTCCCCTATTTGCGTATACAAAGGCGCGTTCCCTGAAAGTGATCGTGCGCCGCGAAAACGCGATTAACGCGGACACGCACCGCCGTCCAAGGAGATCCTGTCCCTCCACGTAACACGGAGACGCTGATTGCGAGCACAGTTCAGCCTTGACTGTGCCGGCAATCCCGCGCGGCTGCATTTATGGGCGCGCGAGATGACTTATCTGGGAAAAGGCGCAGCGCAGCGCGCTTCGAGGCGAAAAAAAAAACCGCGATCGGGAACACCGGAACACCTACGCCGCGATCGGGGTGCATGCACACTTCACGTTTGCATAATCGCTCAACGCGGGACGGAAAAACTCAATTTCATATTTCGCGACTCCCGGGAAAAATGGAAATATCTCATTGTATATGTCTGAATCATGTGATATCTAATTATATCCAGTTCTAAAATCATCAGATCTTCAGAGATCTGACACTTTTATTAAATATTCAATGCTATTATCTATTGAGATCTAATTGTATTCTCTATAGGGCATTTAATTGTCGACCCATGTTTATAGGAAACTTTTCCTTCAGAATTAAATTTCCTATAAAATCTCAAAGTCTGGCCGGAACGTTCGGGGCACCCTGTATAATGAGACTTTTTTCCATTTTTTCCCGGGCTATAAACGGAGAGATTCCCGAAGTTGGTTAATGCAATCTCTAAAAAATGATGATCTTCCAAAGTCTAATACCAATTAAGACTCGAGTCAATAAGAGTTTTAAGATAAATGTAAAAATTACACCCTTGACTTCTAAATAATTTTATCAATTGGCTCCCATGTTTTCTCTATCGTACATGTAATAAAGCACTTTTTCTATTAGACAAGCTACGGTTTTGTTTAACGTTCCCTTTATTTTTTCTCTTTTGCCACAGTTTTGTCCTCAGTTCCTTTTTCAAGAGAAAGAGACTGCCTGGGCATTAGTAATTGTTAATCATTAGAAATGGAAAAATAGTAATTTGTTTTCAATTTTTAACAACGTTAATCTTCAGCTGAGGCTGAAATAGACACTGTGGAACCTTAAACGACAACAACGTTGTGATTACGGTATTACGTGGATTTATACGCGAACCGATTCGTCTGGAAAGGCACATTCTACGATTACGCACCAGCGAAAATTGCATCGTCGATTATTAAGGAACTAGGAACTACGGCTGTTACCGTTAGGTAGCCTTCGCGCAATATACCTTCTACATAGAGAACACTCCAAGTATTTAATCTAGCCAACAGATAGACACGCCCGTGCTGTAAAAAACCAAATGCGCTATCTTGAGGCCGCGAACCTAATAGTGCTTCTTATTTGTTGAATGCGCTCAAGTTATATTAAAAATGCGTAGTGCTCTCTAAAAGTTAATCGGTGGATTTTCACTGAAAACAGTCAACAGTCATTGATTTACAGTTATAAGTATACCGCTGCAATTTTCAGGCCTGGTTTTTCAGTTTTTGGTTAATAAGGAAGATAGTCGACTCTCTATTTTTTTTCCTATATTATTGTCTAAGAAGAGACAGAGAATCGATTGAACTCTGGTTAACAGTTTATCAAAAAGTGAAAGACCGGGCCTCAGCGGTGCACTCATAACTGCAAATTAGTGAATAATCACTGTTTTCAGTGATAATCCACTGATTGACTTTTGGAGAGTGATTCAGAGATCGGAATAAATGTGTTAACAATGAAAGATGCGTCTTGCGCGTGTAATATGTTACAGTGATCTACAAGTCAAGTTTTACAAACACACATGTAGAACGAATACGTACATATACATCCATGTACTATTGGCGTACATCAACGAATAAATGAGGAATAAGGGTGAGTACTTATTTTCTACATCAGTCACTTGCATCTAGCAAACGAGTGCAAGACGAGTTATTCATCTCGTTGGAGTGAGGCAGAGATCAAAAGAAAGAAACGGAACTGGTTTCTTGGTTTAGTATTCAAGTCCAGTGTATTAAATAAAAAAAAACATATTAAATAAACATCCCAGAAATCGTGCGTTTAAGTAGAACATGCAACTTTTAATGAAAAATGGCGGCTGTTCGATACTTCTGCATCAATAGTTACGATATTATTGGACATTAATGCAAAAAGATAACGGCAATTTAAATGTATACATAAACGAACGCGCAAGCAATTTGTTTTTTAAATAAATTTTGATAAGAATTTAGAAAATCAATTTAAGACTGAAATGCAACGGTATCTGATGATAATAGGAGGAAGGAATCACAAGAAAGGCATTAAATTCCAATTTGGTTTTTAATTTTTCGAGAAAACCCTGTGCTTGAAAAAATTCGCCGATGAAGAGTCGGCGGAAATTGCAAGGTTTCTGGGACACCTGCGTGCTGGGGTCTCCTCGGGTGTCCATAGACGTGTGCAAATGGTACGCAAGCAGGGAGGAAAACCGCCGAGGCAACTAGCGGGTGCAAGAGACGACGGTGGCAACAAAGACGACGCTGAGGACGATTCGACGTGGTACCGCGATGCACTTACGCCGCGATGCTCTTCGACAGGGGCCACCGTTCCATGGACGCCTGGTACTTCATGTTCTCGATCTGCTTCTTCAGTGCGTCCTTGTCCATGGTGGCGAGTACACTGGGATCCATGGTTACAGCTAGCCGCACCCCCCTTGTCGCAAATCAAGAGCGGGATGGCGCGTGCGCCTACACAGGAAAATCAATAAGGATGGCTTGAGAGTAGCTATCGGGCGCTATGCCCGTAACGCGAACGATGGTCTCTCGTCGGGGACGAGAGGAAAAGAGGAAGCTCGGCCTCTCCGAGGCAGAGACCTCACCCGAGACCGCATCACCGATCTCGTCTGCCGATCACCGGCGTTGGATTCGTTCATGAAACACGACGAATGCAAACCGATATGGGGAGAACGTCAGTTGGCGAAGAAAGCTCTGCGATCGGTATTACCTTTTGCATACGTGATTTACTGATCCACAGTTGGGAGGATCACAGAGTACCAGTGCCCCCTGACCTTTAAGTTGCAATGGATCTCTACCCTCTCTATCCCTCCCGACACTTCGGTATTCTCGATAACGGAGGCGAGACGTTTAAAATGATTCTAGTTATCATTCGATTCGTGTCTTTCGTTAATTTTACTGCAATTACCCTGCCGGAAATAATTCTGCAAAACTATAAAATATAACTGCCCAGACTCTAAGAAATTCTACGTAAATTTAAAAAGTGTTATAAAAATCGACATGAAACTGCTAGAATTGGAACACTTTTGTTAATTTTTGTAATATTCTACAAGCAAGCAGATGATTTAATTCTTTAAGATTTTGGTGTTTCTCAAATTTTTAAAACTAGTAAAGTTTTGTACTAATTTTTACAAAATTGTACAATTTCATAAAATACTACTTGCAATAATTTTTTTATTTGAGAACATTGTAATTTGTGGTACTGCTTCGTAGATATTTTTACAAACAAAATTAATGTTCCAACGAAGATATAAAAATTTCTACAAATTTCTATTTCAAATCAATTTTTGTAGCTATTTATACAAATTTTTTCCGCTAGGGTAATCTAGAAACAAATAAAAATGATCCTTTCCCTCTTTATATTCTATTATTTTTCAATCATTCCTGTTCTATATCGATTGTACTCTCTAAAAGTCAATCAGTAAATAGTCACTGATTTGCAGTTACGAGTATACTACTGAAAATTGCAGTGGGGGCTCAATGGATAGCTCAGTTGGAAGAGCATTTGCCCGGCAAGCGGAAAGTCCCAGGTTCGAATTTTGATCTAGTCCTAGCCCGTTACTTTTTCTCGCCGAAAATTAACAAGTGGCGCATCTTAGTGCCTACCTCCCCGAAAATACACCCCTACTTATTACTGTAGATACATGCACACTTATAACTGTAAATCAGTGACTATCCACTGTTTTTCAGTGATAATTCACTGATTGGCTCTTAGAGAGTAAAGTAAAGGCACATATTATTTCTTTATTTCTGAAGAATCAACATTCTTGTATTTTGTAAGAAGATAATAGTCTTATATCATTTCTTAATATATTTTGCGCATGTTCCACGGCACCATTCAGCATCCATAGAGATAATCGTTAGTATAAAAATAGAGCTTATGACCTGCAATCGCATCTTTATTGCGATATTAATCTGTAGACACCATTAGTCTTGAAAACATGCTTGCATTGTTGCCGACGTTGTTAATTCGATCTTAATAGCACATCTCAGATGAGTATTTAATTATAACCTTTGATAAATCGCATACCGTTACAACATCTGATTATGATCTCGCGTTCGCGTGATTTATGGGGATTCGCTAATTCAGGCGGCAATTTCGCAAAAGAAGGCTACTGCCGAACTGCACTCGAGATCGTCCATTCCACCATCTTTCAGAAGGCCTCCGCAATGCTGTTTCCCGTTGTAGTTGTCAGGCTCGTTGGCAATTTTCAAAGTCCACTTTGAGTAGCCCGTAGCTTCCAGAGGTTCGTCCGTGATCGTGTTCCAATCGCCCTCTTCATAGAGATCGTGTACGCCGAGCCATGCCAGAGCTATTTTGTTCTCCTCCAAGATGTGCAACAGCATTTTCTCCTCCGAATTGGAGTTAATGATAGCCAAATGACCTGCACCGACAGGCAGATGCACATTAATCCGACTAAAGTTACGTGACTGTTGCTTTTATTTAATTCGCTTGTGACCGGCAACAACATTCGGAAATCAGCGACGCGAAAGGGTGAACGAGACTTACTCGTTCCACTCTTGCACCTTGAACGTCGTACTCTTTACATAAATGATAGGAAAGAGGATTCACGATGAAATGTTGTTGTTCATAAAAAATTGTAGAAAAGTGTAGAAACGGCAGAGCGTTTCGATGTGCCGTCATCGAAATAAAATCGCTGTTAGGAACTCACCCCCTTCTTGAATACAAATTTTACGAGCCTTGTTCCACGGCACCTTGCGAGCATGAAGTTTATGAGCGCCCATGCCAGGTGTAATGAGGTAATCGCTCCCTGCTTTTTCCACGAGATTGTTACCGTCTTGCGTTTTCCATGAATGCGGCCCGTAAATGTAAATAATTTGCTGCGCCGGGTTCAAATTTCCATACGCGCTTGGCACTAACCTGCCTGAAGCTATTCCTGATAAGAAAGCTTTGTAAATTGAGATCTTTTCATCGATCACGGTGGAATATGTGTGATGTAAAATAAAGCAATACAAATATTCAATATTCAAGACATAACACAGTTTTATGATATAAACATTTCGTTCTTCCTTTCTTCTTCTCTCTCTTTCTCTCTCTCTCTCTCTCTCTCTCTAGACTCTCAAGTAAATTACCATCCAGATAGCCAAATCTATTACAATAGATTTCGTCAAATGCCCACTACAAAAAGTTTGAAGGCAGAAAGATTGCAGATTGCATACAGAAACTGATATATTCGACATGTTGCCAGCATGTCAGTAGAAATACAACAAAATCTGCTCACATATGTAACTGGACCTGCTTGGTTTCTGTCAACGATCTGTTGACAGCGTATAAGTGTTTTACAGATTCTGTTGTCAAAACAAAAGCCAAATACGGAGACAGGTGGCTATGGTTTTGACGTGGGTTTCTGATGAATCGGTTGCCAATCCGATGCCAATCTGCTAACGTTTTGCTGACTGGGCAAGTGATACATAGATTACCCAGCGAGAAATGACTCGTCAATAGATTCGACATCGTTTCGACGAATCATTTCTCGCTAGGTACAATTATTAACTTCTTAATTTACCTGCCAATCCGTTGATCGCTGTATCCGTCTCGATTGTATTTTCCTTCGCCATGCAATACGTTATTGTGTAAAAAAGTACCACCAACGTGTACCGCAACATGATTGCTATTCTATTACGCTGGCAATGTAAATGTCCGGACCAAATGACAAATAACGGCGGATGGGCTTATTTATATTAAATGATAAGAAATTGCTGCTCACACAGGTCACGCCCACGCGGGTAGGGAAGTACGATTGATAAGCTCCACATTGATGCCACACCAATATTATAATGTTCAAGAGAAATAGATGTGTGAACAATAAATAAAACGCTGCTGATTATTGTCTTAAAATTTTACAAGATACTTTGAGCTTTAATCAGTCAGAAAATAAATTGTTCGAAATTTATAACCGCCTCTCCTCCCTACATGTGTGTGATGGAATATGTGGAAAGTACAATATTACTTATCAACTCGAGTAACGCCAAGTTATCGCAACAGGATATTCACTGGGATTCCTAGCATTATCAATATCGCATGACTATATTGTTGTGACGTTAATTGGAGCAATCGTGTATGAGATATTCTGACTAGAATATCGCATTACTCATAAATTACTCATAAATAAAATATGATGTAAATCATTATTAAAGGTTAAGAAATTATTCGCCGTAACTGGCAAAAATGTTTCTTTCCCAGTGAGAAATGATTCGTCGATCGACGTCGAAACGACATCGAATCGACATCGACACCGTCGAATTGACGTCAATTCGACATCATTTCGACGTCGATCGACGAATCATTTCTCGCTGGGTTATTAAAAGCACAACGTTTCGACCGTGCATTCCGTTCCTTTTCAAGTGTGGGGAAATCACATAAAAATCCTAAAGTCGGACATTGTGCCAGCAATAGATCTGAATCTAATTAAACTTGAAAAATATATCAAGCAACTCATAAATACAGATTTTTTAATCGTTGAATAAAACATCTTATTTTTTCTGCTGCTCTGTGTACGTCACAATTGCAATGAAGCAAACGCCGCAATTAAACGGACCGTAAAACGTAAATATAATCCCATACAGCACCAAAGCTTTCAGAAACATTGCAACATTGCAACAATGTTTTCTGAAATGTTTCTGAAAGCTTCGGTGCTGTATGGGAACCGTAAGTTTTCGAAAATAATTAAGTTTTGGAGCTTTATTTTTTGTATTAGATTACTACGTTCAACGTTCCGAATACTTTGAACATTTTATGGGAGAGAACTGCCAACTTATTTAATACAAAAAAATTAAGTCCCGAAACTTTTAATTATTTTCGAAAACTGACAGTTGGAACGCGATTTCTACACCACTGGCGTCGACTCGACGTCAGTGTTCGCACTGGGTTATTATTTTACGCTCACGTCGGTTTGCATTCGTCGCTGTTAGTGCTCTAGTTAATTAAAATTTACGAGAGACATAAGTCGTAAGTAGTACTCACCTAAACGAAGCACGATGAGATTCTGTGGCGTTGTGACTTTTGACGGGCTTCGCGATTCGCTTAGAGAAGCCTTGAAAAACCCGGACAATCTAATCTAATAATAATTTCACTGCTGGCATCTTCAATCGTCGTCAGTGCGTACTCGCTGGCGAACGCGTTGAACGTAATCCAGCGAGAACGCAGTATCTCCGATTTTAACTTTCGTATTGAATTAAAATGTATATTTATTGAAACAATCGCTCGCGAGAGAGATTCTAGCTGTGCCCGCAAATATACTCATTTATATCTGCTTAGTTTTATCGTTTAATGTGGCTACAAATTCCGGCTTCACGCGATTCATAATTCGTGAATCAACTCTCGTTTGAATTTGCCGCCAATCAACCTGCTGTTTGTTGGTTATGTTCAATCGACAGGCAGTTGCCAATTCAATTAATTGCTAGGCAGCGATTTAATTGGTTTTTACTATTGGCTCCAATAAAATAAGTCTGAGATCTCGTAGGACGGCATTTTGTTTCTAAACATGTCAATTGGAGATACACGTATAGTATACGCGATCAGCTGTGCGCAACTTTGCGATTGTCCACGGGCGTAGGCGTGCGGACGATGTTTTTCTCCGCCCGAGGTTTAAACTAACAGTTTGATCTACAATTTTTACGCCCGAGGATAGCGAGTGGACAAACGGTGGTATATTCTTTCAAGATAGACCTTAGTCGTTCGTTCTTAATCTGGAAGTTTCATTCCAATCTTCGGCAGAGCCGGTCTTAACCTTATTTTTCCTTCTCGTAGGCTCGACAAGATGAGCTACAAGTACGTGAACCTGGCGAACGTGGGCACCAATTATGCCACGCGCATGAATCGCCTGAGCAACCGAATCTTCGGCGAAGTAGCCAGGCCTACTAATCAGAAGTCGATGAAGGTCGTGAAGCTCTTCAGCGAGAAACCGGTGAACAAACGACCGGAGGTCGTGGAATATTATCCAAGATTCAGAGAGACGGAGAAGCTCATGACACTCCTGCGCGATTACGGTCTCTTCAGGGACGAGCATAAGGACTTCAAGGAGGAATACGACCGTTTGCGAGCGCTTCGCGGCAAAACCAAGTGGATACCACCTCCCTACAGAAGTAAAGCCAAACCGTCTTGAGACACGCGTAATCTACAACTGAACGCAACAAATTTTGTTATAGTGTGCATCTTGTAAATAATCAATTACATGTTCGATACAATGCTGTCTTTTGTTTTCATTTACATCCACAATTACCCAGAGAACATTTTGCGCGCAAACACCTGGCATTAGGACGACGCGCTTGGATAGAATTTTGCTTGCGTTGTTTAGCCTTTTTTGTACGTGAGTTGATAGATGTTTGCGCGCAAAATTACACGTTAATACATGGGCTCGCTACTTGCGTGCAAAAGCACAGACTAAACATATCTTATGGACAAAACTCAGGCAAATCTCATACAAATTTGCGCACAAGAATTGTTATCTGGGTATGTTTCCCACTTTTCTGAGATACGCTGATATTAATAGAAACTACAAGCTTTTTGACATATTTTCACACGTGCATCAACGTGACATTTGACGGTCATATTGTTGCGTGTGTGCACACCAGGAATCACTGATGCCCTCCCACATAAATTTGTGCACACACCCAGTCAGCAAAATGTTACCGAGATTGGTTGCAGATTCGTCAGAAATCCACGCCACAACCGTAGTCATCTGTGTCCGCATTTGGCGCTTGTTTCAGCAACAGTCTGTAAAACATACGCTGTCAACAGATTGTCGGCAGAAACCGTAGTGGACCTTCGACGAAATCTGTTCTGGCAGATCTGGCTGTCTCGGTATCAACACATTTGTACACTTTTCATATACGTACATACATGAAAAATGCATATGTGTTCTACCTGCGTCTAAATTCATCTGGAAAGGCATCAGCGACTTCTGATGTACATTTGCGAGTCCTGTACGAAATATACATATAAAAGAAGTTTATTATACAATCTCCAACAGTACAATTTGGCACATACACATATCCAAGTGTAGACATTATAGGTAATGATAATATTTACAGATAACACTTATATACAGGATTGAAAGTCCGTTATACTGTATTGCCCCTTTACTGAAGGTAGGATCACATTCTTTTTAATTCATTAAAAATATCTATATAAATTTATTCGTTTATTCTCATAGCTTTACAATTCTTATGTAGTTTTTGAAAAACGACCTACACCGGCCAACGTTTTTAATTTGTTCACACAATTGTTACTGATCTTATATCGATCGTTTGGCCAATATCGTAACGTTAATAAGATCTAGCTTGTCACTTAATAGTTTGTCACTTATACTTGGCGCGAGACACTACCGTGTCTCGTGATATTAGTCAAAAAATGATTGATGTTCAATCCGACATCTCGTCTAACACACATCTCTCGATACCTTTACTTGTGTCTTGCAATTAATAATGCAACTTTAATCGCACTCTTCAACCAAGGAGTACAATCATTTCTTGACTAATATCTTATTAACAGATATGAGATCAGTAAGAATTGTGTGAACAGATTGCTTGAAAAGGGTCCAAATCCGGGGGTCGAAACGTCATTCGTTCTTTAAATAAAAACAATGGCCAGTGTAGGCCGTTTGAAAAAAAACTACATATCATCGGTTTTATACTCCTGGCGATATTAAATCTATTCACAATTCTTGCTTCGTATTCTGGGAATTGTCCTTGATATTCTCTTTACTACCCGTCTCCCCTCTGGCCATCTCTTTTTTCTTTTTCTTTTGCTTCTTGTCTTTCCCGGTCTCTTTCTCGTACAGGCAAGAGTCATTCTGGCCCTTCAACGCGCGCTCAGAACACAAATATCTGAAAGACACGTGATAATAAAATATAGATGCAGTTTTCGCAATCGACATGACCGATTGAGACGGATGTATTCTAGGGTACCTAATCAAAGAAATTTCCCCCTGATGATTGTAGTACCAGTTTTCAATGTCGGCTTCATGATTCTCTAACAAATCTTCGCACTGCGTTTTTAAAGTGGTTATCTCCACGGAAGGCTTGTCCCACAGTTCGTAGGGAATACCCAGGTCTACTTTGACTCCCTTATCCCTGCAACCGTCCATATATTAATTTACGGAATACTCCACGCGAGAGATTGTATCGCGCCAACGACATCTCTTACACAAGTCCGTGCAACGTCTTGAACGTCTGACTCATTCCTTTCGCAAATCTCGTGCTGTCCGTACGTTCCTTGTGTATATTGTACTCCAGTATACGCTTGCAAACGTCCTCCATGGATTCTACCAGCCGCAGCTCCCTGAGGGGAAAGCGAAGATTACTTTGATCTCATCGGAGTTTCGCAAAGTCCCAATGCGAACACTTACGACTTCTTGTACTCTTTCTTCTTCTTTGGCGCAACGTCGTCCACGGAATATCCGATCTGTAACACATCGTTCACCTTTCCCGTCTCGTCTAGCCTAGCTTCAAGTTCTGTAGCTAGAACCTTGCACACTGCAACAGAGATTCATTTCTAAGTAATTTGTATTAAAATTTCAAGCTGTTACACAGAATTTTGTCAATGATCTTTCAGTACGCTAATGTGATATTCTGAGGCTCTAAATTCACTATGCATTTCTGCCTCAGGCATATACAATGTATTACTCCAGATTAATCACCTTCGCATTTATTGGCGTATTTAACCCCCTGCTCCTCCTCGGGATCGCCGACGGCAAGGTACACGAATAACAAATTTAATAAAATAGCACGATTCACTAGCAGCATCGTGGCTTATATCAAATGAAGGAGGAATGTCGATAGTCTGCAGCGTCGTGCAACGCGACGCGGCGCGACCGGCGATTCGAACCGTCCACAATTACAACATCACAATAAACCTGAGCGGCTGAAGCCGGCTGTGCTGCGTTGCTCCGACATTACTGCACACGATAGCGGATAGCGTGTGTGGGATCCGTTGATTGGCTTACGAATAGGGAATTTGCGAAGCATCCCGCAACAGGTTAGGGAAATTCCCCACCGGGTGTGCAATTTCGAAAAGTATAACGCGACTTATCGAGGAAGATATATGCAATTATTTCCTGTTTGTCGTTTCACGTTATCATTTTCAATCTTCTTTCACTTTTGCCCGAGCGACTCTCATTGTTTACAGACGTTGAAACTCAACAATACACGTTGATTTTTCTAGGTTTCGCTGATATTGTTATTTTTTACTAATATAATACAGCAAAAGTTACGAATAAGGTGGACAGAAATTAAGAGCAAGAGGAATAAGAAATAAATAATTACTTCAAGCTGCTAGATAACGAAATTGTGTTACAATCTTAAAGTTTATAATTTTCCGAAGGTCTAATCTACACAGTAAATTTCCGTGTATAATAATATGCTACTGAAAAATATTGTTAACACAAAATCAGATGCAAATTGACGCTCCAGTAAGTACTTTTCTTAAGAAACGTATCTCGTTTGTGTCTGAAAAAGAATCGTAATTCTGGGATACCCGACTGGCAGACGTAGGAAGCAATGACGCTACGCGCAATGTAATGGTTCGCGCAAATTTCTAGTGCGCACTTTCTTTAATTTATTGATAAAGAAGAGGAAAGAAATCCTATGACTCTTCCTTTGTACTGAACAGTTGTACAGAACAAGTTTTTGATCTCGTTTAGTAAAATGAAACAATGTATTTGCATTAACGCTTCGTGCCTCACTCAGGATTGCTATGCGCGCTAATCGATTAACATAATCACTTTCAATAGTTCTCGTTTATGGTAATCAGGAAACGTGCCGTTAAAATTCGGTACAAGACAAGGTTCGGTCTCTTACGTACTTTTGACACGAGTTTAAAAGTAATTCGCTAATACTATGCATATAAAATATTGTGGAAATAATAATACATTCTCCTGGTGTACATCTGCAACTTCGTCAGAATTAATTAAACAAGATTGGGTACTGAACACTTATTTGAACTTCGTTCACGGATTACAATAATTTGTACCATTGTAACGTGTAATTTGGTTAACGGAACGGCGGCTTCTCCTCTATGGTCGTGAGTTTTCAACTGAAATACGAATGGACTATTCAGAAGAGTCCAGCAGTTAATTGAGAAATGCGTGAATGAGCCTTCGTAGCATTCGAGAATCGGAATAATCAGCTTTGCGATCGGTTGCTTAAAAAGAATTACATTACATCATCAATATGTCCTTATGCTAGACATGCATTTGCTGCCTTCAACAATCTCATACATGTAACAGCGACAGTCTGTAAGCGCTTTTGCCGTTTATACATCATCCCAATAATTCTTATATGTATTATTTGATTTCCACCGAAATAAATCACAAACACAATTATTACTGTTAGTATATAATATTGGCTGCCCCTAGCCAATTCTGACTTTTAGCACACAATTAGAACGAATGTTACATTATGAGATTATTGATCAATGATCCCTATCACCATTTTGTACGACAAGGTTACTTCTCTGTAGAGATTTAAATGTACGTAACAGATGATGTTGGTTAAATGGCGCCTTCTTGTTGTAGCAACGCGAGGAAACGATTTCAAATGTCGTGTTTAAATAATTTATAATCTCAAGTATTATACATATTGCTCTTTGTTGGGCATGCATCTTGTCACAAATCCTCGACAACGTAATAAATGCATCAAATACATTGGATATACGAATTATTCGCAGAGTTTAATAGAAAGTGTGATGTAACTTGATATTTCTTTACAAGAGAATGTAAACTGTACTTATCACGACTCAATATTCTCTGGTTGAAAGTTCAGTCTTATAAACAAAAGGAGTTATCTACATACTTAAAGCAGACTACCCTTACAGAGAAAGAGAGAAAAATCATTATGTATTATATTACATTCTTGAATTGTTGGGCACAGAAACGACCCTTTGCGATTAAATTAAAAGTCTACTGAGAAGTTAAGCTTTAGTTTCGATCATTTCCCGAAGAATGGAAGCTGTAAATGTCTTTTTTAAACACATATGTTTCTGGCGAATGTTAGGGGAAGAGATTTTGCCTTTCCTTTTCCTCATGTAATAAAACGTTGCTTGAAACTTTGTGTGTATACAACAGTGATGAAGCATTTCTTTAAGAATGCTTCGTATACATTTGAATCTAAAGCAGCTGGAATTTGTAGTTTGCGTAACACAATAAAATATAAATAACACGAACGAAGAATCTTACAAAATAATGTGATGTAATAAAAATACAAAACAACGGCAGTAAAAGCGATAGAATATCCGCATCTTCTTTCCATAACGTGATCTGTGCGCTGAATTGAGCGAAGAGATATCCCGAAATTGATAATAAATTAAATACCGAAGATCGATGCGGGACGCTCTCGTGGAATTTCAGAGAAAGGCAAAGTCTTTTACAAAAATGCATACATTACTTATATAATGCTCATCGATCGGCGGTAGCGTTTTCTAGTACTAGTTATAACAGGAACCGATACAGGAGCGGGAGGTGTTACAGGCGTAACTGGCGTTACCGGTGTAAGAGGAGTTAAAGGAGTTTCAGCCATCTGGGCTGAAGAGGGGGGCCTGAGCTACCAAATGTAATTCTCAGTTTGTGGTGCTCGCATCACTCCCACGCCTCCGCCGAGCCTCCTGTAATTCATACAACCACATAGCTTCCATTGATTCTGCTCCGGATCGTATACTTCGATCGTTTTCAGATACGCAGTTCCGTCGAATCCGCCCACCGCATACAATTGACCATTTACTACCGCTAGACCCACCTGAAATACATTATGTTTATTAAAATCTGATTCACCCTTTTATATTGAGTGGTTGCATATAAAATCGCCCGTTGGCAATAGATGGTGTTAGATACTCTATTTCTTCGAATTGAAAGCTGGCAACACACGATAACAGGTCTATAGAGTCCCGACAACACGCCTTAGGTGCAACGCGTTAGCATCATCTATTTTCATTAAGTTTACAATGGCAAGTTTTGTTCCAAATAAGACATTTGCGGGTTCGTCGATTTGCTATCAAATCACCGTCTTTTCTTTCGCTCAAAAATGGGCTTTATATGCAACCATCCAATAATAACGATTGAATTTGTAAATAAATGTATAGTGCGCAGACAAGTTGAACTTCTCTTTCCACGTTTTAAGATATCTTTAGTCCTCGTAAAAAGAGCAAACTTACTCCGCTTCTCCTTGATGTCATCGCTACTATAGGACTCCAGGAATTCGTATGAGGATTATAACGCTCCGCACTGGAGAGCTCCATACAATCGTCTCGTCCTCCCACAGCATAAATTACATTATTAAATACAGCACAGCCTAGATGTTTACGTCTCGTAGACATCGGGGACACTTGGGACCATTTGTTTTGCCTTGGATCGTATCTCTCTACCGTATTAAGGGGTGATTGTCCATCAGACCCGCCGATGGCATATAAATAACCTCCGAGCACTGCGACCGCCACTCCCAACCTTCTAGTAGTCATCGGCGACACTTTAGACCATTTGTTTTCTTTAGGATCGTATCTGCAAAGTTGCATGTATCGTTAGCTACAAATGCACCATTTTATATATTTATACACATATTGAACATTTGTCAGCAAGTCATTAAAGCCTTGGGATCCAAGAACTGTGTCCAAGTTCTAGTTCCGAGAAATGTGTAGCCGATCAACTAGCAGCTTTTCCGTAAAAGATGCAAGTTGATTGGCTACATACTTCTCGGAACTAGAACTTGGACACAGTTCTTAGATCGTACTTGATGCAAAAATACATACAAGGAGAAACAATTCTGATTGGTCACAAGTGCACATCCACGGGAATGTCACACCCGGTATCCTTGCATCATGGGAACGTAGACGGAGGGCTTAAACACAGGTTACTTGCCTTTCCACGTGATTAAGGCATTGCACTCCATCCTGGCCACCAACTGCGTAGAGAAATCCATCCAACACAGCGACACCCACGCTAGTTCGGCAGGAAGTGGTAGGAGCGACGTCGCAAGACCACTGATTCGTTTGTGGATCGTATCGCTCGATGCTATTTAAGTAGCTTTGTCCATCGTGTCCGCCGACCGCGTATAACAAGTCATTTAACACCGCTACGCCCACCCCGCATCGCCGTTTGCTCATCGGCGCGACCATTTTCCAATCGGCAGTGTTGGGATCGAATCTTTCGACGCTGGCAATAGCGTCGCCGGAACACCACCCACCAACAGCGAACAACACCTCTCCCCGTCTCGTAGGTTTCCTGGGCCTCGTCCTAGGTCCCTGCATCAACGGCCTCTCTTGCGGCAAGAGTAGGTAATTCTTCGCTTCGTCCACGAGATCTCGGCAAGCGTCGTCGGAGCGAACCAACAGATCCGATCCTACGGTACCAACTAAAAATTTTGGACTGAGTAGCGGCAGTCGCACGTGCTGCAGGACCTGTGCCAGATGTTGCCTTCTCTCCGTGACATTGTATTTCACCCAGTTCATCACGGCGCTGAACACCTGCTCCTCCGTGCGTACGTTTAGCTCATCCGACGAAATAATGTCTACCAATTGGCCGACAGGTAGCAACAAAAATTCTTCGCTCTCCATCACCTACGAGGACCAAAGCGATAAATATCCCGAAAGTCGGCAGGTCGACGTCTTATACGTCTCGGACGTGGCGTACCTCTTGGAAATTGTGTTGAGTAAATTTATCGGCAATACGCAGAAGTTCGCGGCACGAGTGGGTATCCGCGAACGCCCGGATACCCAAGCAATTTGATGGATCTAATTGGCGTTTGAGAAATTCGCAACATATATCTTGAATTTCTGCTAATTGAAGAAGGCACGCTGCTGGAAGGAGAGTTTGAACATTCGCTTCTTCGACGATAATGTGAGAAGTGTAACAGAAGTCTATGAGTAACTCCATGGCCATTTCGTCTATGTCGCGTATCGTTACTTCAGTCTGTCTAGATTCCGCCAGCTCCCCAGTAAACATTGCCCTGGAACAAACGGAGACGTAGAATTCGCTTTTTAAGATTACGCGCGACTTGTCGCGCGTGCTTGAGAGAGGGGAGGGGAGGGAAGAAAAAAAAGGTTCATTGTACTTGTGCCATTGTACCTGAAGTATGGGCTACATGCTGAGAGGATGACGCGATGCGCAAATATTTTTCTGGATCCGACATTGAGAACGACATCGCACAGTTCCCGATGACGGCGAAGAACATTGAGCTCGGTTAGCGTCGCGCGCGGATGCTTCTCCGAGGTATGGCTGAGGCGTGCTGGGGAGGGAGCGCGTTCCACGACTATTTCACCCATCCTCTGCGAGGATGGGGCGCCCGTGGCCGCTCTCCCCGAGGCACCCCTGGTCCCCCCGGCTAGCTGGAGGCGCAGCGGGGGTGACGCCCAGCCCCACACGGAATCTATCTGCAACACCATTCACCAACCACCGCAGGTCTCAAATGTGCCTGCAGCAGGTCCCCTAATGTTGCGGCTTCCCTATAGCGACAAGACAGCGTGTAATTCATGTCATGTGTGAAATGCCATATTCTTAAGATAATATTCGTTTCGCTATTTGCTACTCGCATCGCTTGTGTAGATCGAGACGATATCATTGCGGGAGAGGATTTAGTTGAGAAGATACATTGCAATTTCTCTACACGAGAGGTACACTGAGAAAAATGCTTTCATTGTATCAACAAGACGTGTTTTGGCCGAACCAAACGGAATGTCTAGTTAGCACGATAGGGCTCGATATATCATCACCAGAAGTTTCCCAGACTTCGAGACGGGAAACTTACAGTCAACGCAACTGGCAAATTATTTAATCAATTTTGGCTCTCGAGCCTTCGCGGCTGCTGTCTTCTTCAGTCGTAATGGCTTCCGGATGGTTGCCGCGTCCGTTTGCAGTGTGGTGCCGATGTTTCGCAGGCGTTGCAGTCTGCATCATCAAGGCTGGGAGACTCTGATACTGCTTATCAGTTTATTACACAACGTTCCGACCCTATTCCTTTGGGTCTTTCTAGTGTGATACTAAGTCAATCGTCGTCGTCGAATAAGACAAGAGTCGAGTTATAAAATGTATGTACACGTGTGAGCACTGTGGTAGCTGGGCTCGAACTGGAAAAGGACCCAAAAGAATAGGGTCGAAACGTTGTGCAATAAATCGATTAAGTAACTGGCCAGTCGGGTCGACTACAAGTTTCCCGTCTCAATTTCTAATCATTACTGGTGACAACAAGTAAACTCTCCTTTCGTTTCCCCGACTTCACGACACGTCTGGTGAATCCCAAAGGAATTCAGATTCGTTCATTCTCTAACAGACGACTGGTTAAACATATCAGACTTTTTTTTCAGCGTACTTAGGCTCTACTTGTAATCGTATGAGTCATTCGGAGGCAAGCTGTTAAAAACCGAGTGTCATCCTCTTTGCGACAGCGCGCAGAAGATAACGTCTTATCTCTCTTTCTCTCTGTGCCTTCCCAGGATATCTCCAGGGTGAACCGATTACATTTTGTAATTTGAAACCGCGCGTACGTCGCCAGTCTTGGAGGCGCGCACACACACCCGCAGACGCACGCCACACATTTGAAAATCCAAACAAACGTAAAGATGAATGCCGAGGCGGCACCTTCCCACGGAAATTCCAGGGAACGGACGGCGCAGAGAGCGCGAGAGACCGAGGCGAGTGCTCGCGTATAAACACCGCGGCTGCGAATGACTCATGAGCGTAGATCCGACGTTGTCTCCGGGACACCCTCGCGCCTCATCGTCAAAGGGAACGCGGGGGGGGGGAGGGCAGGCGCGAGGAGTAGGTCGCGCGACCCCGGAGACGAATAACGCGGCGGGTGTCGGAGATCAGGATTACGTATACGCACTTTCGTTCGTTTTCCTCGGATCGCCAGGCGATATCAACTGGAGGGAGGAGGGGGGGGGAGGGGAGAACGAGAAAGAGAGAAAGAGGGCGAGGGGGGGAGAGGGGGAGAAAAGAGAGCCGTCAGAGCCTCTGCGCTCACGGACTCGGTTTCGGCTCGCCGTAGCGTTTTCGCGTCAGCGTGGCTGGCCGTCGCGTAACATCGGACGTTGCCGACGGCGCCGCTTGGCGTTCGCTGCCCCGTAGCCGTGACACTACCGCGCACACTTGCACCGCGATCGCACTGCGAGCTATCACGAGGACGCCCTCATTTTCACGGCTTCCCGTGACGATGCATCACGGCGCGCGTCACGTACCCCGACCGCTCGTGAACTCGCCTCGACCCGACTTCCCCGACTTCTGCAGGCTTGCGAGCGGGTGAGGAAGGGGGGGGGGGGAGGGAGCAACACTCGCACTCTCGCGCGTCAATTATGCCGAGTCTCGATAATCGAGAGTCTCGATACGAGGATTTGAAACGCCTCGGCAGAATGCGACATCGTCGACGAAAATCATTAAAAGGGGCGTCTGTTAAAAGTGACGGTGTGATTACATTCATATTGAGCGGGAAATGTACATATACGGGGTGAATATTAAAGGAAGTGCCGATTTTTTATCATAATGGGGAGCGGGCCTGGATAGCTCGGATGGGGAAGAGCATCGGCCTGGCAAGCGGATGGTTCCAGTCCAGGTTCGAATCCTGGTCCAGTCATGGGCCGTTGTCTCTCTCTCTCTCTCGTCGAAACATTAATAATAAGTGGCGCGTCTCGTGCCTACCCTCCCCGAAGATAACGCCTCATATTTATAATTGTTATAATACACATACATATGTATAGTGGATTACCAACCGTAACTGTAGCCAACCCGGGAAAAGATGTCATCTCGAATGTCTCCAGCGTGTTGTGACGTTTAATTGTATAGGTATGTACGTACAATTAATATATTACACGCTGATGATACACGTGATGTTGTGTTTTCACTTTTTTCCAGGGTTGGGTACAGTTGCGGTCGGTAAACCATCTCCTATGGTAAAAGATTGGTGCATCCATAGTATACTCCATAAAGTCAATGGGCATAGCACGGACACGCACCAAGTGGAGACTTTATCGGCGGTGCTTGAAAATGGGTGTAGCGAAATTTAAAAAAAAAACGCTAAATAACCTAACGGTTGACGGCGTTCGCGCAGAGGGAAAATACAAAAAAAAGAAATTTCAAAAATAAAAAAGCTAAAACTGTGTCCAACATCTGTGTGACAAGGATAGATAGAATATGACTTTGGTTCGTTATATCCATGCGTTAAATCGCACACAAACGAAAATGCATAATATACGTACATAACCTACAAATACAATCTCGCTTTGATCACGCATGCGCATTTCGAGGACAGTCATAGAACGAGACAGAATGGTAGTTTCTTCTGTCTCACTTTTTGGACACACTTGTGTCAGTCCTTTTCCTCTTCCATAAGTATAAGTTCTATGGTCCAACCACTGACTTAATTTTTAGTTCTTGCATATTAAAGCAATCAACTCATTTTACATACATATGTACAATACATATACATTTCATATTCTGCATCTTTATACTAAGTGTATAAGAGAATTTTGTAATTCTGTAAAGCCGTTTCAAAGAAAATGATCTTCAAAGAAAAAAATGTCGATAATTATTGTGTCGCTTTTATTTAAGAATTCCCTGAAAGACCATGCATCGATATCATTCAATAAATTTTCATGATTATATCATTGGAGTTCGAACGTACGATTTTATTATATTATAGTAAGAGATGTAATTAACATTATCGACTGTGAATATATTATATTATTTGACGGCCGACTTAAATATCTGAATATCCAACTCATAATGCAATAATAAATTCACAATTTGCTTCACAGATGCTTCAAATAAGTGTGTAGTTTTCTAATTGTCGCTGTAATGGATATTACAATTAAATATATTGATTGCATTCTAAATAATACATACATAGTATGTATGTACGTAGATATGTGTGTACACAATACGGGTACAATTTTCAATAAGATATTAATTTATTAAACTGAAATGTTGCAATAAACATCTTTGAGTCATCTTTTGTTTTTACGTAAAATATGGAATTTGTTTATAACTTTTTATTGCCATTAATATTTGTTTTCTCTGCACTTTTCTATAAATAAATTTTTGTAACGTACGCACGGTAGACCAGAGGCCCCTATTCCAATGCTTATTGAAATTGCACGTAAGATAATTTCAATTTTATTTACTCGTGTTGATTCACGTCGGCAATGTATTATTACTAAAAAAGAAAAGCAGAAGAATTTGAGGAACAGTTTTATAAATAATTATACAAATACACAATCTACTTAATTATATTAACAAAATGTTAGTTTATCATTTAATTAATGGGTAGCGACTTTTAGCCCACCTTGTGATAGAAACGGTATTTAGTTTGATTCCCAGTGTGAACACCTAGCATCAGTTACATTGCATTTATGTTACAATTTCTCACTCAACAATGTAATATAACACATGTTCTGGTATACATTACATTTACATTGTTCAGTAAAAAATTGTAACATAAATGTAATGTAATTGAGGCTCGCTGTTTACTGGATTTTGATTTGGAATGGGAGCGACAGAGCGATTATCGTTATTAGTTGTTGTGGCACCGATATCTGGCGTAGTGCGATATTGCTATCACTTATTTAACTTTTTGTCGCGTTTTTCGTTCCTTGTACTTTCACCTCCATGTTAGTCGAATCTACCTGGAGACCAGTCGTTCTTGCGACAGACGTGACGCGATTTGTAAGAGTACCTTCATAGTATCTTTCAACGGTGAAAGCGTCAATCATTCGCATAATATTGGCCATCGTCCTTTTGAGACGCCAGAATTTATGAGCGTGCAACATGAAGAAATAATGTTAATTTACACAAACATATGCATTATAACAATGTATGCATTTGTCTTCGTTTACGAATTGTCATATACATTCGTTATGCATTCGTTATACAGGGTGTACTAAAACCACCGGATATCCTTTTAATCACATATTCTTTGGAAAATTTCAAGAGAAAAATGCTAATACAAAAATGTCGAGATGCTATAATAGTTTTTAAATAATAAGTGATTATATTTCACAAATGGCAGGCTGAGATTTCGCGCGCTCAGGCACGGCGACATGACGTGTGATAAAAGTGTTTCTATGAATGTCGCCCCTTTCCATTTAATTCAAGTAAGTAAAAATTTGGAACATTTTGTAACTTCAAAGTGCTGCAACTGTCAAAGTGGTCGTTCAATATCAATTTCCACGAAGGTTGTTACTATGCTAAAATGGGCGACATTTAAGGGAATCTCAGGCCTATCATTTGCGAAATATAATCGCTTATTAATTAAAAACTATTATAGCCTCGACATTTTTGCATTAGAATTTTCGTCTTAAAATTTCCTAAAGAATTTATGATTAAACGGACATCCGGTGGCTTTAGTACACCCTGTATATTTGTTACACATATGTATATATAAAACGTTGATTCCAAGTAGCGTACATTTCTCGTTTCTTCATACGCGACTACCGCATGAGAAATAGAGAAACAAGAAAGGGGGTGCATGTGTGTTCCAGGAACTACATTACAGGACAGAGAGCGTTGACTTTCGTTAATACCTGAAACGTGTTATTAATACAATTTCCTGTATAGTGACAATATTATTCAACTGCTTTTTTTCAATACGCAGACAGGCAAGAATTTGATACGAATATTTCTTTTGTAATCCTATTTCGTTCAAGAAGTTGAACGAGTCGAGTCACATTATCGCGCAAATTTTTCTTAACGAACGGGACAAATGAACGATGTGATCGGAAAAGTCTGTCTACTCGAAACAGGAGACACGTATAAGAAAGGGGAAAAAAAGAACAGCATCACATACGTCTTGTCGTCTATTATCGAACATGGA